TGTGTCCATCACCCCATGTGTCTTTCTTTTGCTGCTTTTGCTTTGTCTCCTTTTGCTGTAATAAATCTAGCTTTGAATGCAACTATATGCTGAATCCTGTGAGTCCTAATCAATCATTGAACGTGAGGTTGGTTTTGTGGGCCCCCAACCTAGGGGGAGTGAACTGGAAGCCTGAAGATGACAGTTGAGACTTGGAACAATGTGGTATAAGTCAGGATTCATGAGCATTGGAGGAAGAGAAACAATGGTGTGGAAGACTACAATGAGGAATTAGTGAAATGGAACATTTTTTTTCTGGTTTGAAAATTGATTTATTCAGCAAATATTGAATATTTATGTCTGGCATTGGCCAGATATTTGAGGTATAAAGAAAATTACGGTACCATATCTACCCATAAACAACTCAGTGTTTATCAGAGTAGGAAGTTAGGCTTGTTAACATAATTATAATAAAATATGATAAAGATGTATAAGAGAGAATATAATCAAGTATTATGGGAACATGGGAGATGGAGTCTGAAAGATGAACTCCAGGGGATGATCTATAATTGAGAATTTCTAAGGAAAGTGTCATTTCAACAAGATTGTTGGTTAAAGTAAAAAAAGAACTTTTAAGAGATACAAGGAGGTATCTTGTATTAGGTTAAATATTAAACAGGTTAAAAATTAAAAGGAGTTTGGAAGAGGAAGGATCTATCAGGAAAAGGAGATTCTGAATTGGATGAAGATGAATGTGCAGGAGATCAGATTGGTGTGGCTTACACTTTGAGTTATGGCTACAGATTGTAAGAACCAGGTGACTTGTCAGGATTCATGGGCATTGGAAGAAGAGAAACAATGATGTGGAAGACTACAGTGAGGAATTAGTGAAATTTGAAAATGGATTTATTCAGCAAATATTGAATATTTATGTTTGGTATGGGCCAGATATTTGAGGTATAAAGATAATTATGGTACCATATCTACCCATAAACAGAAATGGCAGTAGGTAGGATATGGGTAAAACAAGCCTCTTTCAAAATGACACTTAGATTTAGGTGTGAAGTTACAGTACCTCTGCAAAGCTTTACCAGATATATTACATGAACTTTCAAAATTACCTCAAGTTATATAAAAGTAAACAAGTTGCGTTGTGCATGCTTTCTTTAAAAAAATTTTTTTAAAGTGAGATTAAGTCTTTTTTTGTAGGACCTTGTGATCATGAAGTGTTATATAAAAAGTTAATAGTTGTGATTTAAAAGACTTCTCTTTTCTGGGAATACTAGTAGACTTTGTGAACTTGTAATAGGTAAGAGTAAAATAGATTAAGTTTAATGCATTTCATCTCTGTCATATTTCTATCCTTTGAAAATAGTTTATGTATTTTATCAATTCCAAGGTCATAATTATTTTTTTTAAATATATTTTTATTGATTTTGGAGAGGAAGAAGGAGAATCATTGATTGGCTGCCTCCTGCTCACCTCCCACTGGGCATGTGCCCTTGACTGGAATTGAATCTGGGACTGGATAGCTGAGGCTCTATCCACTGAGCCAAATCAGCTAGGGCAGTCATGAATATTTTAACCATGATTCAAGAAAAGGTCTTTTAGGCAGTAAGAATAGATGTAGTTATAGCACGTCATTTTCTTTCATACCGTTTAAGAGATTGGTAATTAATAGGTATTGGATAATAAATAAAACAGTTGTTGGTAGCAGTTGGCCAATCCAAACTTTCTTTTTATTTATTTATTATCTTCCTTTTTCTTTCTACTTCTCTATTAATAGGGTTTAAAGTCAGTTTTTAAGGTATGGGTGGTAGCTTATTTTTTCTTTTGTTTATGGATAACATTCAGCCCCCCCCCCTTTTTTTTTTTTAAATAAAGCAAAACTGTCATTTCAAGGAAAACAACTTGTAGCATTTGTTGTCAATAATAAAATTTCAACTTTTCAGAGGAAAATTAGAATTTTGAAAATTTGTATCTGCCAATGTAAGCTGGACAGCTTCCCAATATGTAAAGACCTTTCTGATGAGGTCAGTGATCATATTAATGAATGTGATGATTCTTATGTCATAAAATAAAGTATGTCAGCATTTGACAAATGAATGAAACTACAAAATCAGGTCTGGATAAAAAAAATTCATTCAAAATATATGCCAATAGATTTTAAATTTTAGCAGAGTATTAAAAGTTCATGGATAGACTTTCAGTGTCCTTGCAAAACCATAAGAGACTGCCATCTGTCAGGTTTTGGTGTAGCAAATATATTTTTCAATGACATATCTGGCAAGGCCCAATTTTCTTCATCAACATCAACCAAAAGAGCATATCACTGATTGAATGGCAGAAAGAGATGTGAGAATCCAACTGTGTTCCATTGTCAGATGTTAAAAAGATATGTGAAAATGTCAGATACTTTTCTCACTAAAGATTTTTGTGTTGAAAAACAGGTATTTTGCATAAAAGTGCTATTTTTGTTAGCATATAATGGGCTATATAAAATTTATAAATGAAATTTTAAAATGTTTTAGATGTCTTAATTCTAATGTCTAATCCAAAATATCGGTAAATGTAAACCACATAAATTTGAAAGGGCATTGAGATCCTCAAGAATTTAAAAAAGCAAAGAGGTACTGGCACCAAACATTTAAATACCCCTGCAGCAGAGTACTATATTTCAAATGGAGATGAGGAAAGGGTTCCTGATTATCATTGCCCATTCTGCCTATAGTCATGAAGTATTTCACTTGAATATTCTCTTATTTAGAAATTTTTAAAAGGGAAAGCAAATTGCTGTTGGAATTTGTTGGGGAAACTCTAAGGCAACCAACAGCAGCATTTTCTTGACCGTTCTTTCAGGTATTCTTTCTTTTCTTTTCTTTTTTAAAAAATATATTTTTTACTGATTTTTTACAGAGAGGAAGGGAGAGAATAGAGTTAGAAACATCCATCAGCTACCTCCTTCACACCTCCTACTGGGAATGTGCCTGCAACCAAGGTACATGCCTTTGACAGGAATTGAATCTGGGATCTTTCAGTCCACAGGCCGATGTTCTAGCCACTGAGCCAAACCAGTTAGGGCTCTTTCAAGTATTCTTGTTTAGCTGGTGGAAACACTAGCAAGGGAGTATGGAAAATTATCAGCACCAATTCCAAATTTCTGGTTTCTGGAAAAGCCGAACACTCCCTTCTAATGTGAATCATGTTACTGTTCATCTTTCCTGGGACATTACTTTGGGGGCGAGATGAAGGAAGGGAAGAATTACTATCTGTTTTTAAGATACAACTAAACAAAATGTGTGAGAAAAGGAACTGAGTGCCAAAAGAATGTTCTTGAAATTACCAGTTCTTAACTTGGAAAAATAACTATTACATTAGCCTGGCTTAAAGCTCTTATTTAGGGACAGAGCAGTGCAGTTAGCTCATAGTGCTCCCTGGGCAAAGCATCAACATTCAGCCACTCATCCAACGAGGAAGTATCCAGGCTCTGGAAGGAAAGGAAATTAGAGTTTAAACTCATGGATTGCTCTCTCCAATTTAGCATATATCTAGCAAATTATAGGTATTCTCTGCTTTACAGGTAGGGAAGTCTAGATCATGATACAAACCACAGCCTGACCCACAGATGTTTTTTAATTGACTTGCACAGTGTTTTAGAGATGGGAAAGTGCATAGAAATCTGGTTTTCCACCTCCTCTTGGAAAAAGAAAATCATACAGTCTGTCAAAAGTGGGTCTGCCTTCTAGATTGACTGTAATCTGCTAGATCTGGTCTCTCTCCCTTTCCTCATCTCTCTTTTCTCCTCCCCACAGGTAGGCCCCATAATTCCTTAATGCCTTCACACAGCTCACCTTATTCATTTGATTTCCCTGTCCAGCTCTCGTAAGTGGTTGAATAAGAAATTCCTAGTTTAGTCAACTGTTGAATACAGAATCTCAGGGGTTCCCTCTTACCAGCGTTAGCTACCCTGTTTACAGTATCGCCTAAGAATTGTTAAAACAATGAATCTTAAAGGTTTTCATCATAGGGGAAAAAAATTTTTTGTAACTATGTGAGGTGATAGACATTAACTAAATATTCACTTGGCAATCATTTAATAATACACACATGTATCAAACCATTGTGTTGTACACCTTAAATATAATTTTATGTGTAAATTATCTCTCAATGAAACAAAAAATTTTGATTTTAAGGTCCAACAAAAATCATCATATTGAAGAATCTCAATATTTATTTCCAGGGTGATCTGCTATTGCCAATGTGTCTTAATATTTTATTCTTATCTAATAACTTATGTGAAGAAGTAGTCAGGTGCCCAGTCAATTCTCATGATCTTTTCAGAGATTTAAACACTTTAAGATAATAAAATACACTACTTGGGTTTCATTTCTTTGGGGTTATGGATAGCAAATGTCTTTAAATTTGAAAGCTTAAATAGCCAGGCGAGCTACCACATTGTTCCAGGTGTTTTTGCATTCTCTGACTGTAATAGTATAGATCTCAGAACGTGTTAACTAATCAGTTTGCATTTTTAGACATATTACTACTAATATTGAGTGTTAACAAATACTCTTGACCTAAAGAGTAATTAATAGAGATTTTAGCTTTGTTACTTGGTTGGAAGAACCTTCATAATTTTGACAAATTTGAACATCTAAACATTGTTTTGTTTTTTATTACATTTGTTTTGCAAAGATAACCCCAAACAAGTTATTCTCAGCCTCTTATTATACAAAAGTTTTGATTCAGTTGCTTAAAATTGCTTGTTACATTTCATAAATTGCTGATCAGAATGTTTTTGTATCTCAGTCTTCCGCGGCTATTTTGTATATGAAGCTTGGTTTATACTTTTCTGTCATTTAACCCAAGGAATCATTGGAAATTCTCTGTGGATTTTTTTTTTTAGTTTTTTTTGATTGGGGTGAAATTGGTTAATAAATTTACTCGATCCTTGATTAAGTTAAATGGTATATTTTGTGCAGCAATGACATGCAATAACATTTTTTTCCTTTTTAAAATAGATTTGGACTGAGCAACAAATTTGAATCAGAATTCCCTTCTTCATTAACTGGAAAAGTGAGTGTCTGTTAATTATTTATATATCATTTATACACCTCAAAATTAAAGTCTTTTTCTAATAAATTAGGAATAAGATTTATACTAATGATGCATGTTTATTGACATTAATTTTGCAGTGTTGTTATTTCTTAATTTTTTTTCTTTAGGTAGCTCCTGAAGAATTTAAAGCCAGCATCAACAGAGTTAACAGTTGTCTTAAGAAGAACCTTCCTGTTAATGTACGTTGGCTACTTTGTGGCTGCCTTTGTTGCTGCTGCACATTAGGTTGCAGTATGTGGCCAGTTATTTGTCTCAGTAAAAGAGTAAGTTGAATTATATATTTTAATATAAATTTAGAAGTAGACAAGCAAGTCTTGCATTTATCTGTTTTTATTTTTTTGTATTGAATGAGTCTTTCTATTCTGAATACTATATATAAAAATAACCTGATTCAGTAGAGGAGTGATTAATTAAATTATGGTATGCTCACATGCTGTTAATATTAAATAGCCTTCTAAAATTACTTGAGAACAGAGTAGAATATACCATTCTGTGTATGTATATGTTGATGATAGGATAATGATCTAAAATGCTGGATTCAGCAGTACCACTTATCTCTGTGGCCTTAGGCATGTTTCTTAAACTCTTTAAATTCTTGTTGACATATCTGTAAAATGGAAATACTCATTTAAAGCAGGGTTGTTGTAAGAATAAAATAAAATAGTATTTTTAAAGCTCTAGCTAAGTAGCTCAAAGTAAGAATCCAATATTGATTAGTAGCATTTTTATTAATATATAAGATACTTCCCATAAAAGAAATAAAATTATTACAATGCTTATTTATAATTGGTAAGATTATGAGGAATTCTGTTTTCTTTTTTTTATATTTTACAAGTTTCCTGTGATGAGTACATAATGATTCTGTAATCAGAAAATATTATCTAAGGTGTTGTAATTTGAGTGCTTATAATAAAATTTTCAAGATGTTGGTAGAGACATAAAAAACTGGTATCAATTGAATGTATTACATTTTTGTTAAAGATTTTTAAAATTGCGGTAATTATATGTATAAAAATGAAATACTGTTAAGTTTAAATTGAATGAATGCAATTGTGTTGCTACGTTTCATTTTGTCTTCAAATGGTAGGAAATACAGAAAAGCAAATTCTGTTTGTCCCTTGATTTTTGTTATGAAATTTGATATATTTCTACTTAAAATATTTTTAAACTAGTATTTTTTATTGATAAGAATAAGATAATGTCTATTTTCACCAGATCATCTTCAGACCGTAGAATTTTTTGATTTTTAAACCTCTTAAATTTTTGGTTGTTATTGGACTCATAGTTGAATTTGTAGCTCTTGTAGTTTAGATCCCCTCACTTTCAACTGTTTGGGTGTTTCTGTTGTTTAAATAACTACTATATGTTACTTGGTTTATACTTTTCTGTCATTTAACCCAAGGAATCATTGGAAATTCTCTGTGGGGTTTTTTTTTTTAATTTTTTTTTTTTATTGATTGGGGTGAAATTGGTTAATGAAATTTTATAGGTTTCAAGTGTACAATTCTATAATACATCATCTATATATTGTGTGTTCACCACCCAAAATCAAATTTTCTTCCATTATTATTTATCTCCCCCTTCATCCTCTTCTACTTCGCTGTGAAGTCTCCTTTCCTTCTGGTAATCACCTTACTGTTGTCTGTATATATAAGTTGATTTTGTTGCTGTTTGTTTTTTGGTTTAATCTTTTCACTTTTTCACACAGCCCCCAACCCCACCCCTCTGACAACTGTCAATCTGTCCTCTGTATCTGAGTCTGTTTCTATTTTGTTTGTTAATTTATTTTGTTCATTAGATTCCACATGTAAGTGAAATAATATGGTATTTGTCTTTTTTGACTGACTTATTTCAATTAGCATAATACTTTCCAGGTCCATTCATGCTGTCACAAAAGGTAAGATTTCCTTCCCTTTTATAGCTGAATGGCATTACATTGTGTAAATGTTCCATAGTTTTTTATTCACTCATCATTTGATATCCTCTGTTTTTCCACTTTTTAAATGAGTAAACAAGATACTGCAATGTTTGCACAGTACAGGATTAAGAAGACAAAAAGTAAATTTCATATTCTCCACATGTTTTTAGCAACTTAAGATCATTTTTCAGATGTTTTCATTAAACTTTTTTTTATTTGGGATTAAGGTAGATTGATATTTTCAGGTTTTTTCCATTGTAGTTTCAGAAAGTATATTTAATTTGACATTTTAGTATTTAACTTAAGGTCTCTCTATATAGGTGGTTAGATGGAATGTTTATTTGATATATTTTTATATGGACTATACTATCTTTAAGCATAAACAGTTATGATTATTGTTTTAAAAAAGCTATGCATTTCTCTGTTCTGAGTGTCAACTGTATAATCATGGAGAGGGTGACACTTGGTGTTAGAGAGGGGTGCTTTGTAAGATAAGAGCAGAGTAATTTACAGCATGGAATTTTAACCTTTTTCCCCCCTGTTAATTCTCACCCAAGGATATTTTTTAGAAAAAATGAAAGAGAGGGAGGGAGGGAGAGAGAGAGGGGGGGGGGGAACTGCTGATGTGAGAGAGTATTTTACAAGATTTAATGTATTTTAAAAGTATAAAATACATAGGATTCTAAAGAGAGTCAATTATAAAACATACTAGTGACCTGGTGCACAGATTCATGCACAATGAAAGGAAATTAATTAGAAGAAATATTTTAATATTGCTAATCGCCTTTTTTTATAATAGAAATCTCATCCAAATTCACGATTGACAATGACAGATCAAAACATACGTGTGTGATTGGTACCAGTAAGATATATATATATATATATATATATATATATATATATATACACACACACACACACACACACACACACACACACACACACACACATACACACACACACACACATGCTTAATTAGACCAGCTTTCTGATTTAAAAAAAAATATATTTTATTGATTTTACACAGAGAGGAATTGAGAGGGACAGAGAATTAGAAACATCGATGAGAGAGAAACATCAACCAGCTACCTCTTGCACACCCCCCACTGGGGATGTGCCCGCAACCAAGGTACATGCCCTTGACTGGAATCGAACCCGGGACCTTTCCGTCCGCAGACCGACGCTCTATCCACTAAGCTAAACCAGTCCTGGCCCGCTTTCTGATTTAACTAAACTTTTTCCAGTCAGTGAAGCACCACAACTTCTCTTTCAGGTAATTGTCAGCAATACCACAATAAATATCAACACAAACCAGATTATTATTGTAGATCACACAGGGAGAACAAAGGGTAAAATATTTAACTGCAGCTGTGTTTGACTGTATTCTGTGCCATGAGAAAACCTGCAGTCATTTTCAAGGTCCACCATTTCTTACTTCTTTTTAGCCAGGTCAAGTTTCTAAGCTTTCTAAATCTCCATTTTCTGGCAAATGAAAAGAGGATTTCACTGAGTCTCCCATCTACCTACTCCATGACTTCTGTGAGGATCAAATGAGATGAGGCACAGGAAAATGCTTCACAGACATTTGGTTAAAGTGTAAAATGTTTCCACCTGGCTATAAAGGAAGTTGTGTTCCTAGGATGAAGAAATTCCAAGGAGGCTAGTCACTAAGGAGAGGAAGCCTGGCATTGCTATGTGATGTCATTACCTGGCGCCCACATCCACCATTTCTGGGCTGGGCTGGGCTGTGAGCTGCATTTTGTACCCTGTGATTTTGGCAGTGTTGGCCATGCTTTGGTGGGGTGTTGCTCCAGGGTGGTGGTGGGGCTTGGGTCCCACTTGGGGGAAGCAGAGTGTTACTTTGTTCGTGCTAGGTCCTTGGTGCCATTTCTCAGTAAATGGCCAGTGTGAGTCACAGCAGTGTGCGTCATTGAGTGTCTTCCCCCTTATGGTCAATGTGCGTCATAGCGACTGGTTGGATGGTTGGACACTTGGCATATTACCCATATATATATATATAATCATTAAAGTACAAAACCCCTCAACTATATGATTTACAAATGTTTATTAGTGTATAAAAAAATAAGAAAACAGGAAACAATAGAGAAAATCAGGACTAAAGCAAATAATCCACTCATATCATTTCTATTCAACATTTACTGGAAATCCTACCCAATGAAAAACAGATTAAAAGAAATAATAATATGCAGATCACAAACCAAGAAATAAAACTGTCACTGTTTTCTGACAACATGGTTATCTGTAGAAAATCCCATAAAAATCTACAGAAAAACCATTCCTGGGATTTAAAAATGTGAATTTAAACAATAGAAAATAAAACATTTTAAAAATAGCATTAACAGTAGCACCAAACACAAAGGAATATATGCATTTAAAACTAACAAAATATGTGCATAATCTGTATGGTATGCAAAAGCTATAAAACAATGATAAAAAAAAGTAGAAGATGTAAGTAAATAGAGAGGTATGCCTTAACACATTTTTTATGTATTAAGTTTTGTTTTATGTCTTTGAATACAATATATCTTGATAACATCTTTAAAAGTTATATATATATATATATATATATATATATTTATATATATATTTTAGTGCCTTTATTAAGGTATAATTGGCATATAGTAAACTGCACATAAAGTGTATCATTGGTAAGTTTGGTCACATGTTAACACATACATGTATATATCAAGACAGTGAACCTATTTAATACATTTAAAAGTGTCCTTATTTCTCTTTGTAATCCCCTTGTTTCTTCTAGGCAACTGCTGATCTGCTTTCTGGCACTTAAGATTAGTTTGCATTTTCTAGAATTCTGTGTAAATGTGTGCTTTCTGTCCTTTATTCGTAATTATTTTGAGGTTCATCCATATTGTTGGATTTATAGTTTATTCACTTTAAATGTTGAATAATGCTCTATTGCATTGATATACCACATTTGAAGAACATTCGTGTTATTTCCTGCTTTGATTTATATAAAGAAAGCTGCTATGAATATTCATTTTGAGTCTTGCTGTAGACATATATCCTCTTTTCTCTTGAGTAAACATTTCTAAGAATGGAGTGGCTTGACTGTAATATATATATATATATATATATATATATATATATATATATATGTATATCAGTGTAACTTTTCAAAAATAATGGTATTATTTTACACTACCACCAGCAGTATATGATAGTTTGTTCTGCTATACTCTTATCAATATTTAGTTAATATTTTTATTTCAATAATTCTAACATTATTATGACTTTAATTTGCATTTTCCTAATAATTAGTGATATTGAGCATCTTTTCATGCTGAGTTGGCAGTTGTGTATCTT